AGAGAGGGCTCCTCTGGCACATGGGTCAGATTCGCCATCATGGGCCTGTAACTCAACTACCGTTATTTGGCTGCAAAAATCACCCCAGCGACCGCTAGAACTGTGCCCATCTGGGGTATGTGTGTGTGTGTGTTTGTACGACACTTGCCTGGTGTAGGAGCCCGGGAACATCTGACCCGAATTCCCGCTCCTTTTCCTCTCCCCTATTGAGATAATTTTCCCGTGGACAAAACCTGGGAAAATAACACTACCCACTTATGGGAAAACTCCTGGAGAAGTTGGAAAGGAAGAGACACGGCAGAGGGCCGGAAAATGGTAATCCGAGAGGCAGTTGTGATTTTTGTCACAAGCAGCTGAGTAGGGCTGGCTGTTGTACCTACAGGTGAGGCCTCTGTAGATCTTTCATTTCTTTGGAGTCGGGCCTTTCAATCCAGAAGTGTTTTCCTTCGATAACAACGGCCAATTTCTTAAGCAGACCCTGCCCCAAAATAGCAAAAAAACTGCCAATTTTTCACGCATCTCTTCATCCCAGTTTGTGGGAGGGGCTGCTGTACATCCCCCCCCCCCACGCCCCAAAGAGGGTCCAAGCCAAAGGCACATTATTTGGAGAGGGGGGGGAACCATGGCCACTGGTTTGTGTAACCATGTTGGGAAGCAGGTAGTTAGCATCTTCTACCCCAACGGCGCTCCTGGCCAATCCTGAAAGGTTTCTCATTATGAAGAATTCACAATGACCAATCCGAGTAGGGGGCTTAAAGGGAGCCAGCCGTGGCTGATTCCCATGCTGGGGGATCTTTCCGAGGCTGGGGTCAAATCTTTCCTGGATCCAAAGCAAGATCTGAGGAATCCGGAGGGTTCCGTTGAAGGAATCAGTAGTCAGTAGGCGGCCTTCTTAGAAGACCAAAGTGTCCCTCAACCATCTCCACTTGGCCATTGTTCCTGGAGAACAGAGGGGTCTTGCTGGGCTAGGCAGTGGAGATCCTTGAAGAGGGCGGGCCCAGATGTTTCCAGCTGCCAGTCCTAGCGGATGAGATTTCGTTGGGGGTGGGTGGGGGTCTTCTTGGAAACAAGTCCTGCGGGATCATGAGGCCTTCTATGGGGCTTCATGAAAGGGAGATCGCCTGGATCTTCTTGGAGGCATCTCTGCTGGCTTCTTCAGGCTGGAGACCCCACGGACCTCTTGCCAACGAGGGGGCAACATGGCCCCAAAGAGGACCCCCCTCCCAAGAGAGAAGATAGCCCCACCTCCCCGTTTCCAGGAAGGGATTGCAAATCCGCCCCTGAGAAGGAGGGACAGCTGTTCAATTTCTGAGCACAAGATGTGGAGTACCTCCATTTGTGGAGGACCAGCCTCTAAAAGCTTTAAAAAAAAATCGAGGAAGGCGTACGGTCTTCGGTCGAAAACTCCTAAGCGCCTGGCTGCCCCGTGCAAGTCGTCCAGCGCCCAGAGTCCCGCCTAATTTCAGAATCAGAAGCTTCCCAAGTCCCACCGCCTGGATCCCGAGACCTCGGCTACGGAGCAAATCCCAGGCCTCCGAGATGAGAGGTTCGCTCAAATCCTGCAAATCCTCGGAGGGTCATTTCTTTTGGAAAAAGCCCATGATGGAGGCCTGCTTATTGGCCTTGCCAGGGGCCAGCCCCCCTTTCTTGGTGCCTCTCTTCTCCTCCTTGGGGTCTTTTTTCGGGGGGCCAACAGGGGCCTTGGGAGCTGCGGCGGGCTTGGTGCGGACGTCCTCTTCGCTCTCCGTGCAAGATTGACTCTCGTAGGCTTTTTCCGTCACTGGGAACAAGAGGATACACAGGTTTACACGGAGAAGACCCAGAAATTTTCCCTTTCTTTCTCGCTCTCAAGAAGAGAACAACACTTAGCAATAGCAGTTAGACTTATATACCGCTTCATAAGGCTTTAAGCCCTCTCTAAGCGGTTTACAGAGTCAGCATATCGCCCCCAACAACAATCCGGGTCCTCATTTCATCCAC